TTCCATCCACATCATCACATACATGCCGCAATCATATCTGTTACAAAATTTGAAAACCACACATGTCAATTATGATGGATACTGCATAAATTAAGCTTTCTATTTGTGATAACATCTCATACCCATTCAATTGCTTATTCTTCTTATGCTCCACAAATTTGAAATTTTTCAAGGGATACTTTCCTAGAGATCCACAGGACTCAACCCAAATGCGTTTCTTATTATAAGAATCTAATATTTTAATCTGCATTAAAATAGAAGAAGTTATGCACCAAAAAAATTATGCATTATAATTTACATAATGTCCTTTCATACATACATACATACCAATCTCTTAGCATCCTTCACTCTCTGTTTAGCTGCTTCAGTTGTAAACATACTATCATATATTGTTACAACACGATCTACCATATCCAACACCAACAGATACCAATGTGAATTATGGTAGTTTATTGTGATCATGATCTGCAACAAATTTCACACCCAATTTGACAAAATTCAACATTCTATATCCGAAAACATCATTTGCAATTGGTATGGTGTCTTACCTTCTCACAGTCGGTGAATTTCACATAGTTATCCAATATGACACCCCAGAAGGTAGAAATACTCTCAACACTTTCTTTGTTGTTGGCATCCAACGCCTGTTGCTGTAATTACGCAACAAACATTATTAATTTACCGTCTATAACACTACTTTTCAATATTTATTAATTTAACTCACCACTAAGAGGTATGGAAGGTAGCCAATCCTCCGGAGTGACTTTTGAGAATCGTAGCATATGGTCCAGGCGAGCAAATCGATAACCTAACAAAATTAATTACACAATCAGAACATATTCAATAAGTTTTAACATTTTCTACTTTCTACTTACCACACCGCCAACCCATTCCGTAGGCTTCAACGTTGCAACGTCGTATACAGTAGCGAATTGATTTCCCATTGAGATTACAGAATATCTGTATGAATCATTAGGATTAATATGTTGTCATGAAATATTTAAATATCACTCACAAAACAATATATTTCACTTACCCCGATTCTAACTCGCTATTCCATAAATAATCACAAATTGCAGCTTCGATGTCATCAATTCCGCTTGGAATATCCGCTTTTTCAACCTACAATTTTGCATACAAATTTTTGTCACACCAACATAATAAAAATCAAATTAAGTATTCTTTTATTAAACTTACCTTCTGCTTCTTCTTCTGGGGTGCAGGACATTCCGAATCCAAAACTGCTGCTATAACACTCTCCGGTGTATAAATGACATCGACTTCCTTCCATCTCTTCTTCTTCCTCCTCCCTCTTTTCTTCTTCATATTTTTTCAGTTCATCGTACTTTTTTTCTATATAGCTCTTCATCTCTTTTATTTCACCCTTCAATTGAGCTCCTTCATCCGAGTATTTATCAACCACCCCCTTCACCCCCGTAAGTTCACTCCTCAAATCCACAACCTCCTTCACCACTCCCTCAAATTTTTCTCCCGTCACCATCTTAATATCACCCCTTAACACCCCAACTTCTTTCACCACTTCACCCCTCAACACCTCTACTTCTTTCACCACTCCATCTATTTTTCCTTCCACTACCCCCTTATGCCTCTCAAGTGTATCTTCGACTCTCTCGAGTTTCTCTACGACTCGATCAAGTTTCTCTTCGACTCTTGATTGTCTTTGCATGATTTCAAATTGGATTTTTTTTGATATCAGCCAATTCAGACATCAAAATGTCGAAGTTACTATGTTTTCCCTCACCGTCGTCCCACTCACCGTCATCTCCCAATACAACCATCCCTCCTTTCTTCTCCTCTGCCTCCACTGCCTCCTCTACATCCTTGCCAATAACCTTCAAAATTAAATTACAATATTAAGACATTGATTATATTCTTAATATTATTTAATTACATTTATTACCATTTCTTGCTTCTTCCCTCTATCCAACTTCAACTTCACCATCACTCTAACCACCTCTTCCTTCCCCCATGCACGGATGCGTGCCACTCCGGTTCTTTCATAAGCCGGCACTGCCTCACAGCCCGACCAAAAATCGAACAGTGCAACATGCATTTATAATAAAATTTATATTTTTATATAAAAACACAAAAAAGTGATTCAACTCATTTACCTCTAAGATTGCTATGCACCCTTTGAGGTATCTCTGGCTGCCCTTTTTAAAGGTGATTATTGATTCAATCAATCTCGAATGGATATATTCAGCCCAATTGAATTCACCCTTCAAGCCTTCATCGCAAATGAGCTTCATATATTCCTTGTTCGTTGACGTATCACCCGTTGGACAAAGAAATATCCCGACAAGGTACAATAGAACTCGGGCCTTCAGCTCATCCCCCCTGTAAGATCCACTTTTGATATCCTCTTCAACTTCAGCATATGTCACCTTATGATTCAAACCATATTTGGAGGCAAGTGCTTTCCAGTTCTTACTCCTACAGACTTCTATAACACTTTTGCCTTTGTTTTTGTACCCCCAAGACGGCTGCAGCAGTCGATACCCCCAGAGGGAATGAATAATCACCATACTTAGCCATACATTGACTGACGTCAAATTGTGCCATCAAGGATCGACACAATTCCCTCCGAATAGGTCGATCCCTTACTCCGATCAACGATCCAAAACCTATTTCTCCCAGCACATTCAACTAACCCTTCTCATTAAGGTGTTTAATTAATAAATTCACCCTTTTAATGCTGCATCTTGTCGACACTTCCTACATTTTTTAACAATATATAATGTTATAGTTCTTATATATTTTGTATCAACTTATTTACAAGTTTAATGAATACCTTATTTTCATGTGCTTTCCTCCGTTCTTTGTATTCTTTACTATCATTCCTTGACTGTGTGATGTAAGGTTCCTTTTCAGCATCACTCATTGAATTCCATTTGGACCTCACATCTTTTTTCACCTAATATTAAACATAAACGTTTCTTAATCAATACATTAACACTAAATACTAATACTACTCAATGTCAATTTCATTTTACATACCGAACCGCTCTGTGTGCCATCTCCCTTCATCCTTTTGCATTCGGCCATACTGTTAACATTTAAAATTTGTAATCAATTTAAAGTTTATCGATACTTTAATCCAATTACCATTTCAACAATAATAACAAAAGGACATTGATACTTACTAGAAGTACATATATCCACCCTTTGGTTGCTTTCGAGTCTCGGCCTCAATTTCAAAGTCATCTGCTCCACCAACAATTTTCCAACCCATTGACTCCATTTTTCCTTCATATATCAGTTTACGCAAATCAAATTATTTTGTTACATACACTTTATTCAATATACAAATATAGATATCTACTCTTGTGGTAAAACGGTTTTCTTCAAAAGAATTTGAATGGCCACACCAAAATGTGTCGGCACATTTATACAACCTATAATATCATTTTCTACCTATAATATTTAATAAAAGTATCGACATTTATATTTTTCCTTGAATATCTATTTCTACCTGCAATCGGTCCCAAATGCTTCCTTACTCCAAAACCCCAAACAACACATAAAAACCCTATCGCGATTACTGTAATAATAAAAAATTAGGGTTTCGACAACATACTTTTCGATTCGACTGCAGCAACAAACAAACAAACTTCGCTTTAGAAACGCCTTCTGAAATGCAGCAACAATTACGCTTTGATTTCAAAAACTCGTCCGTTCTATCTTTTTTCAGAGGATATTTAGCTATGGCCTTTATTTTCATCGGATATGTTATTTATATTTAATCGATACAAATACAAAAGTGTCGATACTTTTATGTCAGGTGTCGATACTTTCGAAAGGATAATTACCTATTTCTTTGAAAGTGTCGATAATTTATTACACGTACTTACGAAAGTATCGACACTTTCAATATATCCGGTATCATTTTACCGGTTTTATCATTTTGATACCGGTTTTATCATATTTTTACCTGTTATATCGTTGTGGATCGATATATTTTTTAAAGTATCGACACATTATAGGCGCTATAACTGCTTCTCTTTTAAATTCACAAAGTGTCGATCCTTATATAAAGTATCGACACTTTTAATATATCCGGTAACGTTTTACCGGTTTTATCATTTTGTTACCGGTTTTATCATATTTTTACCTGGTATATCGTTTTGGATCGATACATTTTTTAAAAGTATCGACACTTTATAGGATTTAAAACTGCTTCTCTTTTAAATTCACGAAGTGTCGATCCTTATATTAAAGTACCGACACTTTAAATGTATCCGGTAGCGCTTGACCGGTTTTATCATTTCTATACCGATTTTGTCATAGTTTTACCTGTTATATCGTTTTGGATCGACACATTTTTAATTTGGATCGACACGAACCGGTAGCACAATTTTTTAATATTTCTTCATGACTTAGACCTACTTTTATAAGTATGGACACTTTTATAAAAATGATATATACTTCTTTGAAAGTTATGTAATTTATGTTTCAATTTATTTAATAGTGTTTCATGTTTTCCACCTACAATATTAATTTAATAATTTCATTTACATAAAAAATTATTTGATTGTTTTGATATTTTATAAAATATTATTTAGATTTTAAATTTAACAATATTAACTAAAGATAATAATAAATATATTTTCACAGTGAAATAAGTATGGACACTTTTATAAAAAGGATAGATAATTTACAATATAACAGGTAAAAATATGACAAAACCAGATTCATTATGACAAAACCGGTAAAATTTACTTGATATGTTAAAAGTATGGACACTTTTATAAAAAGGATAGATACTTACCGATAACCAAAGTTTACCGGTTACCAAAATTTTTAATAGTTTTTCATATTTTCTACCTAAAAATATTATTAGTTGTCAACATAATAGGTACCGCTAAACCGAATTTATTAAATATATTTTAATGTATCCGGTAATGCTGTATATTAGCCGTATATTAACCCGCCTTTCCTGAGACATTCCCATTGTTTTGAGTATTAAAAATAACTATTACATGTTAGTTTCCATGATGTTGCAAACATGAAAACAAGGCCAATGAATGCAGTCTACAAGTTCCTTAGGGCCTCGGAGAGATTGGTAGTTCAATTCTTTATGATCTGTGTATCTTCCTATAGCCTGCTCAAAAGTTCACCTGTATCAAAGAAGGCTATCTCCTGGAAAATCCATCAACCATTGTAACAATAGTTCATATGATTGAAATCTGTCACAGTAGTTCACTAGAGATTGTACCTGGTGAATAAGATGACCCTTTCACTGGCAGAAGAAAACAGCCATGCTGGCGGAGCTGTGCAAAACTGAAAAACAGGAAAACGAAAGCAATAAAAAGATGATGAACCCTTGAGATGCTGTTGGATTGAAACTATTCATTTGCTTCTATCAAAACAACTGATAGGTTATATAAATAGCATAAAAGTCGAAACTATTTGTACCCGATTATAACAATCAGGAAAATCTCTAGTACAGAGATTGAAACTATTTGTTCCTAACTGCAGCTAATGCTTCAGTTTTCTGTTTTGGTGTTCTGATTGTTGGTGAATAAACTTAATTTGCCATTAAATTCGTAACTGCACAGTGGACAGATTTAAGGCTATTTTTTAAATGACAATTTGAAGGGGCAAACGTTAACCATTATGGGTGTATAACCTAACAAATTACAGCTATTGAAGTCTATTTTCAGGTGCAACAAATTTCAAGTAGATTGGATTTCTCTAGAGAAAGTTATAGCAGTTTTAGTAGTGAAGGGTCAGAATTTAATGTGTTTTTTTGTATTCTGGTTTTGAGTTGTTTTAATTCTGTTTTAAATACGAATTTTAAGAGTCATGTCTAAGGCTATAAATAGACTTGTATTCTCATGTAAGAAGGTAAGAGAGAAAATACAAAAATATAGTTTCAATAATAAAAAAGTTGTTGTGAGAATTGTGTCTCTCTTCCCTCCACCGAAATATATATCAAATACTTTCAAATTGGCATCAGAGCCAATGGCAAATTACGGGAAAATGTCGGGTATGCCACTACCACGACTTACGAAAGCCAACTACAACAACTGGGGCATTCAAATGCGAGCACTACTTGAGGCCCAAGATGCATGGGAAGTAGTCGAGAACGGTTTCACCGAGCCAGAGAATACTGATGATATGACAGTAAATGAAATCAAGACATTGAAAAATACACGAATGAAGGATAAGACAGCGTTATACGTGCTATTTCAAGCGGTTGACGAGTCGGACTTTGAAAAGATAGTGAGCACGACAATTTTTCGGTCACTAACTGATGATTTCGAGAATGTGTATGTGCTATTAAAGAGTCGAAGGACCTGAAGGAGCTAACTATAGACGATCTCGCTGGGTCGCTAGAGGAACATGAGCAACGCAAGAAGAAAAAGAAGAATGAGTCGCTTGAGGAAGCACTGCAAGCCAAGGTGTCTATCAAAGAAGAAAAGGTACTCTATACTCAAAACTTTCGAGGTAGAGGGCGCGGCTGTGGAGATCGCAGCAATGGTCACGGTGGTGGAGGCCGCGGTCGAGGTGGATACTATGAGGAGAAGGGGCAGTCAAGCCAACAAAATTGGCAAAGTAGAGGACGTGGTCGTAGGAGAGGCAACCGGTCAAATCATTCAAATGTTGAGTGCTACAACTGTGGAAAGCATGGGCATTATGCAAAAGAGTGCAAATCAAATATCGAGTGCTATAATTGCGGCAAGCATGGGTAATATCCAAAGGAGTGCTATTCCGAGAAAAAGGTAGAAGAAAACACGAATCTAGTCGCGAAAGAGGAGACAAGAGAAGATAATGTTCTCATGATGGCCTATAAAAATATCGTTCCTAACAGTGACACGGTGTGGTATCTTGATACCGGCGCTAGTAATCATATGTGCGGGCACAAATACCTCTTTGTAGAGATGCAAGAGATAGAGGAAGGGCACGTGTCATTTGGAGATGCATCGAAGGTTCAAGTAAAGGGCTGAGGTAAAATATGTTTTTCTCAAAAAGATGGTAAAGAAGGGTCGATTGAGGATGTTTATTATGTGCCCAATTTGAAGAGTAATATCCTTAGCATGGGGCAATTATTGGAGAAATGATATTCAGTTTTCATGAAAGACCGAATGTTGCACTTGAAGGACAAAAAAAGTCAGTTGCTTGCACGTGTGGAGATGGCCACGAATCGAATGTTCAAACTTAACTTTAGAAATGTGCAAGAAAGATGTTTGCAACTCAACATGGAGGATAAGGCCTTGTTGTGGCACTTATGATTCAGACACTTGCATTACGGTGGCCCAAAAGAGTTAGCAAGGAAGGATATGGTACACGGGCTACTTGACATGGATTACATCAAGAAATTTTGCGAGGGATGTGTACTCGGCAAACAAGCGAGGAATATTTTTTTTAAAAAGGTAGAATATCGTGCAAGGAGGTCTCTCGAGTTGATACACATTGACATATGTGGTCCTATCACACCAAATTCATTCAGTGAGAAGAGGTATTTTATCACTTTTATTGATGATTGCACAAGGAAAACTTGGGTTTATTTTTTGAAAGAAAAATCTGAGGCATTCGAGGTGTTCAAGAAATTCAAGGTGTTAATAGAGAAGACAATCGGGTATTATACCAAGGCTTTACGATCAGATAGAGGCAAAGAGTACATGTCAACTGCCTTTACGAAATATTGTGAGGAACAAGGAATTAAGAGGTTTTTAACCGCACCCTACTCACCTCAACAAAACGGTGTGGCCGAGAGGAAAAATCAGACTATTCTTGACATGGTTCGGTCGATGTTGAAGAGTAAAGACACGCCTAAAGATTTCTTGACAGATGCAGTTCAATGTGTCGTGTATGTTCAAAATCGGTGCCCACATGAGAAATTGGTGGACCAAACACCACAAGAAGCTTGGAGTGGATGAAAACCAACCGTATTGCATTTCAAAGTATTCGGTAGTGTGGCCTATGCGCTTGTATCGGATCGAAGAAGAACCAAACTCGATGATAAAAGCAAAAGATATATCTTTATCGGCTATGATGAAAAGACAAAAGGTTTCAAGTTGTTTGATCCAATAGAGAAGAAAGTAGTAGTCAGCTAAGATGTGCATGTAAACGAGTCAAGTTCGTGGGATTGGGAAAAATCAACGGAAGTGATATTAGAGAAAGAATAAGCATCTACCGGTGCAATCATTACACCAACAAACACATCGGCAAATTCACCAACAATTGATGATGAAGATGAGCCAAGACAACCAAGGATGCAAAGCATGCAAGATTTGTATGACTCAACAAGTGAGGTACATTTAATTTGTCTTTTGGCGGATGCCGAAATAATTACATTTGAAGAAGCGGTACATAATGAGAAGTGGCAAACAGCTATGGATGAAGAAATAAAAGCAATTGAGCGAAACCAAACTTGGTAGCTGGTTGAATTGCCAAAAGAAAGTCAGCCCATAGGAGTAAAATGGATATACAAAAAGAAGATGAATGCTCAAGGAGAGAGAGAGAGCGGTACAAGGCAAGGCTAGTTGCAAAGGGTTATTGACAGAAGGCGGGGATAGACTATGATGAAGTATTTTCCCCAGTTACAAGAATGGAGACGATTCACCTTCTCATTTCTCAAGCAGCTCAATTCAAATGGAAATTTTTTCAAATGGATGTCAAGTCAGCATTTTTGAATTGTGTGCTAGAAGAAGAGGTGTATGTAGAGCAACCACCTGGGTACATGAAAATTGAGGAAGAAAAGAAGGTGATGAAATTAAAGAAGGCACTTTATGGACTAAAGCAAGCACCTCGAGCTTGGAATACCCGCATCGACACTTACTTCAAGAAGAATGGGTTTACTCAATGCCCATACAAGCATACATTGTATGTAAAGAAAGAAAAAGGTAACTTGTTGTTAGTAGCTCTTTATGTTGATGATCTTATATTCATGGGGAATAATAAGGAGATGATAAAAGATTTTAAAGAGACTATGACTCGGGAGTTCGAAATGACGGACATGGGTTTGATGAAGTACTTTCTTGGTCTGGAGGTTAGACAAGAAAATACTGGGATTTTTGTGTCACAAGAAACATATGTAAAAGAAATTCTAAAAAGAAACAAAATGGAGGATTGCAACCCGGTATTGACACTGAAAACTGTCGTTTCGGTGTCAAAATAAATTTCTTTTTCTCAATTAATAAATAAGGAAATACGTAGTATAGAGAAATAAGGGTCGAATCCTCAGGGACTTAGAAAATCACAAATTTATGTTTGAATAGTTTTTAACCAGGCGAAAAATAGTAAAATGGGGGGGGGGTTTGCAATATGAGATTTAAATAGTAAAAACGAGTAAATAAATTAAAGCAATTAAAGTAAAAATAGGATGATGAAGATTGTGAATAAATATGGTAAAAATCGCCTCAAGATTCGCTTTGATTCAATTTCCTTTAGATCATCGAATAAGATTTTCTCTTCGGGATTCACGTCTGTTACTTTGTCTATAAGGGCTATCCCCATGACTCTATCTTGTATACCGAACACCCAAGGCAATCTTTGATTCCGGCTTCGATAATTGATTATAACGACATCAATTGTCGTAGATCAATTACCGTTTAAGTTCGTAGCGTCCGACTCGGATTGTTGCTTCTATAACCGTCAATTCCGATCTCAATTCCCTCTTGGAGAAACTATCTCGCCAAGTGTGTTCCCAGGAAGTCGAATTGCTTTCTATAAGTCGAATCTCCCTCCCACACATTTAATCGTAACAACCTCTTGACCAAAGTCAATCTTTGATTTTGAAAATTGTTTTGATTTTGAAAAATAAGCGCAGAGATTGAGAGAGATATTCCGAAGATATTAAGGGACCGTTTCAATTCTCCCGTTGGAATTGAATCATCGCGACAGTCCTCGGCTTTTGAAAAGTTTAGCTAAGCATGACAAAAGTCATACTTAGCATTTTGAAAACAAAGCTTGAAAATAAAAGAAAAAAGGGAAAAAAACTTGAAAAGTAAAAAGAGAAAACTTTAATAAAACTAGAGAGAAAAGAATAATGTAATTTGAGTGATAAGTTTAGGCTTACCCAAGTGGTTATTTAATAATACAAAAGATAATTGTTTTTAAATTTAAATTCAAACTTAAACTAGTCTCCTAATGCAACTTTACTCTTCAATCTTCCAGAAGGCGTGTGGATGAAGTCTTCTAGAAACCGCCGCTGACTGGACCTTCTAGAAATTGCCACGTCAGACCGCGTCGTGCCCATGTCTCCAGCCGTGACCAAATAATAATAAAACAAATGCAGAATTTGCCAGTTTTATCACTAATTCTGGAAAGTAAGGATCTGCACGAAAATAGGCATAACACAACCAAATCATCAGCAATAACTCCACAAAATTGAAGAAATAACGAGCAAAGATTAACTATTCTGAACACTCATTAAATTCCCCCTCACTTATCTCATGCTTGTCCTCAAGTATGATTAACCAAATCAGTCAAAAACTTCATTAAACGTTCTTTTGTCAAGTTTCACATTAAAGGAAGCAAGGTAGAGACCACAATAACTATTTAAGT